GCCCCGGCTGGGGCTCAGCTCTCCCCCTCTGGCGGCCAGAGCGCCGGGGGCAGGGCAGCGAGCCCCGGCTGGGGCTCGGCTCTCCCCCCGGCAGCCAGAGCGCAGGGCGGCGAGCCCCGGCAGGTGCTCACCGCTCTCCCCCCCGCGGCCGGGGGGAGGGCGGCGAGCCCTGCTGTGGCCCCGCTCTCCCGGGCGGCCGGAGCGCCGCGCCGCCCCCCTCCAGGTGCCGCCCCAAGCACCAGCTTGGGTGGCTGGTGCCTGGAGCCGGCCCTGGGGGCAGGGCGCCGGGGGGGAGGGCGGCCGGAGCCCTGGGGGGAGGGCGGCGAGCCCCGGCTGGGGCTCGGCTCTCCCCCTCTGGCGGCCAGAGCGCCGGGGGCAGGGCAGCGAGCCCCGGCTGGGGCTCGGCTCTCCCCCCCGGCGGCCAGAGCGCAGGGCGGCGAGCCCCGGCAGGTGCTCGCCGCTCTCCCCCCCGTGGCCGGGGGGAGGGCGGCGAGCCCTGCTGTGGCCCCGCTCTCCCGGGCAGCCGGAGCGCCGCGCCGCCCCCCTCCAGGTGCTGCCCCAAGCACCAGCTTGGGTGCCTGGTGCCTGCCCTGCTCAAAATGTTCAATTCTAGTGCTGTTGATTAGTTTGGGGAAGGGGAGAGGTTTGATGGCAGAATTTTTTTTAATTAAAGAGAATTACTACATACATTATGGATCCCACTGAGTGTATTACTCTGAGTTGATGAGGGATACAGCAGGCAAGGAATCAGATGAAGATGCAGAAAACTACTCCTACCTTCTTTAAGAACACTTAGAGCAAATGGAATAGACAGGCATTTTCATTGCTTACATACAAGTAATTTTGTTCAGGACAATTCCCCGTAAGTATAAGGGATTTTAAATGTAAAAGTGTTTGTTTTCATACGGAGAGACTTAGGAATGATACATTCAAAACCCCTGTTCAGTGTTATGAACCTCTTAATGCCTGGACTAAAAATTAGGTAGTCTACAAGCTAGGATTATAAAGTAGCGTACATGTGTATATAAGGTTCATATACAACAAAAGCCATGTACTAAAGAATTCCTCAGCTCAGCATACATTTTAAGCAAATAATGTGGATTTCAAACATCCACACATATAGATACAAACTCTCATTAACAGGTAATTAATTTACATATAAGCTACAAGAGCTACACTGGGTAAAGAGTAAAAAAGGGGAGTTAAAATTTGTCTGGATGACTAATTTTGATCTTCTCAGATAACATTTGTTGGGTTTTTAAGATCATTACTATGTTCACTTTGGGTTTCTGCTCTTAGGTAAATGATAGACATCAGTCACGTTAACTCTGACTGAAATTTTTTTAGCTGGGAATAACCAACTCTAAATAAAACAATATGGTCAAAGTTCAAAATATTAAGTCCACTTGACTTATAACCAAACATACGTTACAGAAACAATCATCTTTCAATATAAACTTGCTACTCTTAGTCTAACTTTGAGCTCAATTGCACATTATTATTTTGGGTACTGGGCAGAAAACAAGAAGGGTATCCATTAATCTAGTACTCAAATAATTTTTAAAAATTATAATACCTTGTTACTTGAACTAGCAATTAGGAGATATTGGAATGGTTTAATTTGACTATTAAGAGTACAGTATACTAGTAAATTCCTACAAAGAAATAACTTGGTTAGAAATGAGTTAAGGTTGCTTAAGGAGAACATTCACCCATGCAAATCCTTAAAAGCAAGGAAATGTCCAATTAAGAGATCTTTCTTTAGTACACCCCCATATCTCATATTCACTACCTTCATGGATAGATTCCACTCTTCTATAAACAACCTATAAACTAGAGGCTTCTATAAACTAGAGGCTGCTCTAGTTTACAATTGGTTGCCCCCAGGACTGTGGGTAACTGGGAGCAGCTGAGACTAGCTGGAGTGCACAAGCGCTCCAGCCACACCCAGGGCACATTCCTTTGATTGTTTAAAATCATAAAGTCACAATTTAATTACCTTCCTTACTACAAAGTTGACAGAAGCAAATAGCAAAAGGTATTCCTTACCTCTCCACGCTGAGATTCTTGTATTCGAGTAAATCTTAGATCACCGTGTTCCCAGTTTGCATTTACACTATATATTCTCAACTGTGAAAGTTCAAATGAAGCATTAAAAGCTTTCGCTCCAATCCGGATTATAATGGAGTTCACAGAAACAGAAATTCCTTCTACCACTTTTTCAGCAAAGCCATATTCGCTGGAAAGTGAAATGCCAAGATTTAAATTACAGATCTAATGTTAGTGCATAAAGTGATACTTATTAAGCAATAAGACATGAAACATACCATACAATACAAAACTTGTAGTGCACGCCATCCCATTCATAAGTGTTCATTAAAAATATTTAACTCTGAAAAATTTGTAATATAGTATAATCTCTATTATATGGTCCTAATCTAAAATTAACGACTAAACAATTTTTCATGCAGTTGAACTTCAATCAAGTATAACGCATGCAAGTTTCCATTTTAAATATTACAGTAGTCTTCAGATTATTCACCAACCTAGCTTCTATTTATGTATATTTAAGGAAAAATTAATGTCAAATGAATTAACATTATTCCACCACAATAGCATATTAGTCTTGCTAATATTTATCTGTACAACAAAGCTTATTAAAGCTATAATTACTTTTATATATTATGCTTTTTTGAGTGAGGTGAGGATGGGAAGGCATAATATAGGGAAATTGTGCTTAAAAAAAATTTATATATATATATATAAATGGTTAAGTGCATATACTCAAGCAGCTGAATTTCAGGATTAAAGGGACACTTTGGTTAAAACTTGTTTTTAAAGGAAATTTTCTTATTTGTGTTACGAATAATGCCTTGCATTACTAAAAGTTAAAGAATTTTAAAAATCCAATTTACTTTTCACTATTTTTCCTTTTAAATACAAAAGCTTTCAGTCAGCTTAGACAATGAAAGTAGTTTGCAGCCTTTTATTCTTTTACAGTGCTCTAAATAGTAAATAGAACCTATAAGCAAAAAGAACAGGAGTACTTGTGGCACCTTAGAGACTAACAAATTTATTAGAGCATAAGCTTTCGTGGGCTACAACCCACTTCTTCGGATGCTTATGCTCTAATAAATTTGTTAGTCTCTAAGGTGCCACAAGTACTCCTGTTCTTTTTGCGGATACAGACTAACACGGCTGCTACTCTAGAACCTATAAGGGTTATTAATGCAGGTCCCAGCCCTGCAACCAGATTGATGCAGGCAAATCCTCTGTCAAGGTAAGCCGGCTCTCTAAGGATATGTCTAATGCTTCTGGGAGTGACCCTCCCAAGTTGGGTCCACCGACTTGTGTTAGCACCCTAAGGTGAGTTATGTTCAAACAAGTCTGTCAACCCAAGCTGGGAGGCCCATTCCAAGGTTCAATGTAGCCACACCCTAAAGGAGTTGACATAAGTAGATCCAATTAAATGACTAGGACCACAATTATACCTGTATATAAGGTGCCACTGGACTCTCTGCTGCTTTTACAGATCCAGACTAACACGGCTACCCCCTAATAAAAGCTTTATCGTTGCGGGAATGGGGGTGTCGGTAAGTAAAACATTCTGATTAATTAAGAGGGATGGAGTTTGGTATGGGAGGGGGTTCAGGGCAGGGAGTTGGGGCACAGGAGGGGGTGTAGGCTCCGGACGGTGCTCACCTCGGGCAGCTCCCCGCAAGCAGCGATATGTCCCTGCTGCTCCTAGGCGGAGCCGCAGCTAGGCGGCTCTGCGCGCTGCCTCTGCCCACAGGCACCGCCCCACAGCTCCCATTGTCCGTGGTTCCCGGCCAATGGTAGCTGTGGAGCTTGCCACTTGGGTCATCAAAAACCACTGCCATAGCTTGAATGAAGCCTCAAATTGTCCCAGAAGTGGACATGATTTTTCCAGGAGTGGAGATGCCCAAGCAGGGCCTCCCCAGTAAGAAAGTGGATAACCTCACTCAGTCATGGTCAGTGGTGTAGGACTACGGGCATAGCAGAAATAGGAGCTGACACTGATTTAGGAACCCCAAAAATGTGTTGCAATCACCCTTAAACTTGTCAAGCAGGGGGACTTTGGCCTTGTGGGGAGCAGGGGTAAGAGCTGAAGGCTCCACGGCTTGAGCTTGCAGGACTGCATTCTATGCCTGTAGTGCAGCAACTTGGGCCTGCAATGTCTATAGGGCTCCCACTATGTCCACCATAGAGATATTGACCTTTGAAGAATCCACATACACTGTATAAGCCAGGGGTGGGCAAACTATGGCCTGAGGGCCGCATCCAGCCCTTCAGACATTTTAATCTGGCCCTCGAGATCCCGCCAGGGAGCAGAGTCCGGGGCTTGCCCCGCTCTGGCGCTCCAGTCGGGGAGCGGGAGCTTGCCCTGCTCCGTGCAGCTCCCGGAAGCAGCGGCGTGTCCCCGCTCTGGCTCCTACACATAGGGGCAGCCAAGGGGCTCAGCACATTGCCCTCACCCCAAGCGCCGCCCCCGCAGCTCCCATTGGACAGGAACCATGGCCAATAGGAGCTGCAGGGGCGGTGCCTGCAGACGGGGCAGCATGCAGAGCTGCCTGGCTGCACCTCCACGGAGGGGGGACATGCCACTGCTTCTAGGAGCTGCTTGAGGTAAGCGCCACCCGGAGCCTGCACCCGACCCCCTCCCATGCCCCAGCCCTGATCCCCTCCTGCCCTCCAAACCCCTTGGTCCCAGCCCAGAGCCCCCTCCCATACACTGAACTTCTCATTTATGGATCCACCACAGAGCCCGCACCCCCAGCTGGAGCCCTCACCCCCTCCTGCACCCCGCACCCCAATTTAGTGAGCATTCATGGCCCGCCATACAATTTCCATACCCAGATGTGGCCCTCAGGCCAAAAAGTTTGCCCACTCCTGGTATAAGCTCTAGTTCTCTTATTGTCTGTGTTGGGGCTGCTCAAACTGTCAGTAACCAGAACATGGGTGGTCATGCCTAGTGGTTAGAGCAGGCTGTCATAAACATACAGCTAAGGGTAGCATAAAATCCCTCTTTACCCTGTAAAGGGTTAATTCCTCTTTTACCTGTAAAGGGGAGGGATAGCTCAGTGGTTTGAGAATTGGCCTGCTAAACCCAGGGTTGTGAGTTCAATCCTTGAGAGGGCTATTTAGGGATCTGGGGCAAAAATCTGTCTGGGGATTGGTCCTACTTTGAGCAAGGGGTTGGACTAGATGACCTCCTGAGGTCTCTTCCAATTCTGATATTCTATGAACCTGCGTGACACCTGATCAATAAGGGGAGAAGATTCTTTCAAATCTGTGGGGGAAGGTTTTGTGTCTGTCTCTCTCGGAGCCAGCCAGGAAACAGGGCAGGGGAAAATACATCTCCCTAGCTATAGCTGAACTAAGCATCTAGTCTTGCAGAAAAAGTAAGTAATAGCAGAAAAGACATGCGTTAGATTACCTTTTGTTTTAGCTTGTGAATTTTCCCTGTGCTAAGAGGGAGGTTTATCCCTGTTTTTGTAACTTTAAAGTTTTGCCTAGAGGGGAATCCTCTGTGTTTTTGAGTCTTTTGTTATTCTGTAAAGTACTTACCATCCTGATTTTACAGAGATGATTCTTTTACCTTTTCTTTAATTAAAATTCTTCTTTTAAGAACCCGATTGATTTTTCATTGTTCTTAAGATCCAAGGGTTTGGGTCTGTGTTCACCTGTACCAATTGGTGAGGATATTATTCTCAATCCTCCCCAGGAACGGGGGTATAGGGGCTTGGGGGGATATTTGGGGAAGGTAGAGCTCCAAGTGGCCCTCCCTGAATGTTTGGTTAAATCACTTGGTGGTGGCAGTGATACTAAGGCAAGGAAGGAATTTGTGCCTTGGGGAAGTTTTAACCTAAGCTGGTAAAAATAAGCTTAGGGGGGTCATTCATGCGGGTCCCCACATCTGTACCCCAGAGTGGGGAAGGAACCCTGACACAGGCATTGGACCTAGTGGTTACCGCAGGCATCAGAGTCCAGGGTCAGAGCTGGAGTCAGGAGCTCAGGATCAGAAGCAGAATCAGAGCTGGAGTTAGAGGTCAGGATTGGAGCCGAAGATCAGTACCAGGTTACCTGGAATGAGGCAAGGCTGAGTCCAAGGCAGGAGCAGGAACTATCTCAGCCATGGGCGAATGCTTTGAGCAGCTGCTGAACTGCTGCTGCTGTTGGGCTTAAGAGCCGGTCTGCTGACTCTTCCAACCAATCAGGTAGTGTAACCAGTTAGACAGACTACTATAACCCAGGTGCTTTCATTAGCTTGCCCAAAGACTGACTCTGCTACAGACCCTGATTCCTGACAATGATATTCTATTTACTGAGCAAATGGGAAGCAGATAGTATGTCCCAAAACAGAGATGTTTCCCTTTTTGGCATCACATGAAGTTGCTAAGATACAAAACTATGGCTTCCACGTTTTCATATATGAAGGACTATTTTATCTTTCCCAGATTCTTCCTAATTATGACATTTTATGTCTTGTGGGATATCGGAGGTCAGAGTAGATGATCATTGTGACACTGTATCCCATATTCTTCACAGTGATATTATTATGGCATAATTATGATGCATTTTGCACAAGACAGGTCATGTGAGATGTCATTGGAAAAGTTATGATTTGCTGAATATGATTATCCTATTTGTATGCATGCATATTTTTTGTATCTAAAGTTAGGAATATTGACTATGTAACTGTATTTCAAATGTGCTTACTCTGGGTGACACCCACAACTAGCCTTTCTGGTACAACAATGAAGAAGCCAGACAGTGCTGATGGGCCAACAGCAAAGACAATGACTCCTCGAAGAACTTAGCCTTCCGGTAAACCTCCCCAGACAACCTATAAGTAATGGCTGCTATGACTCAGCAAGTTATGCCAGGGCATGTGACCAGGCCACATGACTGTGGACTCCATCTTGGGATGTCAGTGTTTTTCCACAAACTGAGTTTGGGACAAAGGGTTCCCGCCATATGCTAAAGCTATATAAGGCAGGGAGTGACATCATCCATTATTCTTCATTTGCCCACAACAGAACACCTCAGAGAAGCTCCTAAGTAAAAAGACTGAACTGGGGGAAGTATTGGACCCAGGCTAAAGGGATTTCTAGCCTGTGTATGAAAAACCTGGGGATTTCAAGCTGCAAAGCAAGAGCAGCTTGTACCTTGAGAATCTGCCAGCCTGCTTGTATCATCAGCCAGGATGAGAATTTGTTAATTCATATCCTCTCTTTCTAGTATCTTAAGCTTAGTTTGTGTTTTTGTTTATTTACTAGGTAATCTGCTTTGATCTGTTTGCTATCACTTAAAATTTATCTTTTGTAATTAATAAACTTATTTTATGCTTTAACCTAAACCAGTAAGTTTGGAGTGAAGTGCTTGGGAATCTTAGCTCAAGGGGCTGCTGCATTTCCTCTCCACATTGAGGGAGGGATGAACTCTGGGAGCTTACGCTGTACAGTTCCCTGTGCAGAGCAAGATGGTATAATTTTGGGTTTATACTCCAGAAGGGAGTGCATGCCTGGGAAGCTGGTGGTTATCCTGGCTGTAACCTCTCTGTTGTTGGTTCATGCAGTGGCTGGTCAGGAAGCCTGCATGTAACTGCAGCTGGGTATGTCCCTGCCTGTGGGAATGCTGGTGGAAGTGTAGGACCAGGAGCAGGTCTGCAGCTTGTCACAGCAGCACAGTGTGAAAGGGAGCCCAGGCTGGCGGGTCAGAGGGCTCAGCAGTACCCCAGTTTCAGGTGGCACCCCGGGGCGAACCCATCACAATCGTCATGGTTCCTTCTGGCCTTAAAATCTATTCTGTTGCTCTCAAAACGTAGGTCTCTTTTCCTGGCAGTTGCAATAATTCTGTCACAGATGTTGAAGAGTCCCAATTAAGTTCCTGCCCTTCACATCCATTATTAGTCATTCCTTCTTTTTTGCATGGATTGAATCTTCAATGTCAAAGTCAAATAGGCTGGGTTCATAGACTGTTATTCAATTTTTCTTTATTTGAATGTACTCCGAGGATCTAACTAGTTCTAGCTCTTAATTGAGTTTCTAACACTTTCACCCTGTTGGCCCTTTTCAAATTATGTTCAGCAGTCAGAACATTTTCAGATTAGACCCTGTACTACCCCCTTGTGTAGTCAAGACATTTTCTGCTCAATATAACTGCCTATGCAGCTTAGTAACCACAACATTATTCTCTATTTTACCTTCTAATGGTGCCATATTAACATGAAGACTCAAGGAATACTTCCATGAGCTCTACTACAGTCTCCTCTTTCAGGCAGATTTAGAAATTATGAGACCCACAAGTTTGGGGCTCCCTGTCCCACCAATTATCTGATATTTTAGTCAGACTGGGGTATACATCAAATCTCTTCGGCCAGATTCAGCTGATGTAGTCATTGAAGAAAACAGAACTATGAACAATCACACCAGCTGAGAATCTGGTCTTTAATGCTATTAGACAAAAGTTAATATTTTGAAAGCAGCATATCTGTTTTCCAAATAATTAAAGCCATTTTGCCTTGGGCCTATCCAAAAGTATGTTGTTCTTATGGAGCTTGAAATTTATTCCTCCATCCTAAAATGCATTAAGCGGATTAAACAATCCTATGAACTAGAACATGCAATATATATTTAGGATAAATTTTCAAGCTTGGGTGCCTAACATTATACATCTAAATCTACATTAAATCACCTAAATAAGGGGCCTGATTTTTGGGGTGCTGAGCAAGCAGGCCCTGACTCTATATTTTTAAAGGTTATTATACTTTACCTTTAGACGAATGGATCTAACCTGCTTTCGGATGCACATACATCCTCCAACCTGCGCTGGTTCACGAGAACAGATCCAATAATTTTAAATGTTTTGTATCAAGTGCATGCCAATATTTAAAAACTACAACTGACCTCTGTCCTGATGCAGTTGCTATAGGTGATGGTCCATTAGGGGCACGTGGTTCTTCACAAGTACTCATTTCCATTATTACTTTATCCAGAGACTTGGAAAAAAAAACACAAAGAAATTTGGTACAAATTTCAACTTACTGCAGTAGATTAATAGATAACTTAGATACCTCATAATTAAAAAGTAGTAAGAACATTAAGTAAAAATCTTTCATAAATATTCTCTGTCCATAGCATTTTACTAGAAAACCTTTAATAGAATACATAACCATTTACATTTTTGGACTTTTGTTTATACAGTGCTTATATCAGATATAATTTTTTTCCAACTCTCCTAAACTTTTGCGGTCATATATAAAAACTTTGTATACTTCTTGACTTCTAGTCAGGGAAATAGTCTATTCGTCACACTGTAGTATATTTCTCAAAGGCTGAATTCTGAATGAGTATAAAATGAGGAAGACATTTGATTTTCTCTATACAGTCAGTCTTTCAGTGTGAAGGTTCACATAATATTAGCTTTTATGCCCTTTGAATTTTCTCTATAGTGTGTTTTTCTTTTCAGACATTTTTATTGGAAAGTGTTTGAAGCTGGTCTATTGTTGAAATGTATCAGTGGGCGCTAGACGTTTTGTTGATATCTTTAAAACATTTTGTATCTATAAGAAAATTGACAGAGGTGAATTGTCAATAAATTTGCTATAATGGGTAGTTTTTGAGAATAAAATATTTAAGATTAACGGTCATCTTTGCCATTATTTTTCATTATTGAGGCTGGACTTCTCAAAAAGGAGACTAAAGGAGTGAGGCACTCAAATCCCATTGATATTGAAGGATATAATAAAATAGCACAATTACACCTTGCCAAATAATTTAACAAATGATAAAAAAACAAACCCACAATGAGTTATTCCCAGGAAGAGACCATCTAAATGCAGAAGCAGTCTCTTTGCCCCCGATATTAAAAACGGTCATGGTTTAAATTTATAGTAACGGCTAAGGAGAATCCCTATTTTTAAACTCGGTTCCTGCAACCTCTTTCCCTCTGGCCTTGGGTACTGTAACTTTGCCTCCTCTTAAATCCATTCAAAACTTTGCTGTTAAGATTATCTTCTTGGCCCATCGTTCTGACATCACCACACCCATTATAAGTCTCTCCACTTCCTCCCCATTTCCACCACAAATATAAACATTTTGCCCTTACCTTCAGGTTCCTTCACATTTTTGCATTGTTGTACCGAATGGCTCAATTATCTCAATCAGCCATTGCCTTCACACTTACATCAGCTTCTATCTCCCACTTGTCCAGTTCTCCCATAAACACCTTTGCACTTTTCTTCCATGCTCCCCATTATACATGGAATGCCTTTCCTCCTCCCCAAAAATTCATAAGCTTATTACCTGATTCCTCCTTAAGACTCATTTACTATGATGCCTACAGTGTGCTGCTAGCTGATATGGTGAGCTGAAACTACAGCTAATTGCTCACCTCACTCAATGAACAACAAACAAACCCCACAAAAACAAAAGAAACTCCTAATGCACACACAATCGTTTTATGACAAAAGTAAAAACATAATTATCTAACTCAGCCTCCCTGCCCCTTCGGTTTGTTTCACTAATCTCTTAGGCCTTTTCTTAAAATAAGGTAATAAGAAGATCTTTGAAACAGGGACTGCATTTTACTATATGCCTGTATAGTACACAGCCCAATGGAGCCCCGACTTGATTGGGTTACTGCAACACAAATAAACAATAGAGCTTGACTATGGGATTTCTCAAATAGATGCCTGATGCCTCCTCCCCATTCTTCACTAAAAGGGCTAGTAATCATTTTTATTTTAGAACAGAAAACTGCTACACAGAGTCTGTGCAAAAGTCTTCCTTGAAATTGTTTTGCTTAACAAGTACAAATAGAAAGGGCAATTTAATCGTGAGCAAAGGCGCTTAAAACATTTGCTACCATATTAAAAGATTGATTTCCTGAAAGCCTTTGTTTTTAACAAAAGACAATTGAGTTCTGGCAAGCGCACCACTAACTACTCGAGCTACCTAAATCATGTATACAGAGTATGCCAACTAAATGAAGGCTACTTAAGCTCAACCTTGCTGTGACAGAGTGCAGGGTGCAAACAGGTGAGCCTGCACTCTGATCACTTAGATATTAATTAGTTCCCCTGGAAAAAGCTGAAGGGGTAATTAGTCAATCAGGCTGGCTGGCTGAGTCAATTACCTCATAAGCCCATGGCTGACAAGAAGAGGCACAAGAAGGAAGTGCAAGAGGGGAGAGGGAGGAACAGAGCTAGCCAAGCCTAGCCACACAGAGGCTCAAAATAGGGATACCTCTGTTTCCCTTAGGCCCTGGCGAGAGGGCCAAAAGCTAGGTTAACATTGTAAATAGACTGTTGCACGGGGATCATTGTGAAAAGAATGGCGGGAACTTAAAATAAAAGGACATGGTGAAGGCACAACCACAGGAGTCTGTGCAGTTTCTGAGGGGAGAAAGCAAGAGAGGAGCCTTGCCCAGTGACACTTGCCCTCAATTACACACATGCACCAAAGATAATGAGGTTGTGGTGATGTAATTGAGGGCAGAATTCGGCCAGTAGCCTGAAGTGTCCCATCCTGGTGAATACATTGCTTTCTAGAAGAACCAGTGAGTTCCTGGTACATTCTATCATTGAATTATTAACTTTTCCTACCAATTCCCATTCATTAAATCTGTTTGCAGGCAACTTATACAAATACTGAAGAAGTACCTCTATTAATAAACTCAGATGGAAACTGAATAATGAGAACCAGTGACTGTCAGCTAGTCTAGTTCTGGCTTCTCCAACCTCTCCTGAGAGGCTTGTAAGAAAAGAGATGGAGAACTGACAAATGGCAGCAATCCAGTTCTATGCATCTCCTAATTTTGTTGGGTTCTGACTACAACTAAAAACCAGGCTAAAGCCTTAGATATGTTTTAACTGTGTTGCAACTGGGTCAGGGGACAACCATGCTGTCACTGGGTCCCAGGGCTAGGTTACAGTCGTAGTGTGGAAAGGGCCTTAGAGAATAAAGTCAGACAAGAAGAAGGCAGGAACTTGCAATGAGACTAAAAGACAAATATCCATATTTCAGGTAAAGCTGAAATAATTAGAAATTATAGAAAAAACAGTTTTTCTAATGGGAATCAAGCAACAACCTAGAGACCCTCATCTTTTATAGATTAGGGATACAGTCGCCAGAATGTTTTGTCATCTCCATCTGCTGGTAATCAAAGGACACACTGTACACAACAGCTAAGGTTTAAATTATTTCTAAATAACGTCAGGGAAACTGTAAAACATTTTTTAAAAAGGAACGTATTTACAACTACTATCTGTAAGCCCACGCTATCGAAAAGGTATTGTGAGTCGGTATTGTCAGTGCAACAGTGCCCCTCTAGGCCAACCAGGGCATAGCCCCAGCCCACTCAGCTCAGTGGGGCTGTCAGTCTATTCTGGCTATCCCAGAATCTGGAAAATCCTCTCTGATCTCGGGTCCATCAGGGGGTTGGTAGGAGAACCAAGCCACTCCACTGGGTTCCAGCTCAAGGCCCTCAAGCCGGAAAAGCAGGACCAGGGGTCACAGATTCGGACAGTGGCCTGAGCTCCTTCCTACCTTCTCCTGGGCCTCTGCAGGCTCTTCAACTGTTGGTCTGTTCATGCCTTGTTGGAGTGTTGTCTCTGGGCGGCTCTTTAGCAGTTTGCTGACAGGAGTTCCTTTCTCCAGCCTGCTCACTCCACCCGTGGCCCCCGTGCCCTTCTGCTTCCCAGACCTTTTATTCTCCCAGATGCTGTGAGGTTACCAATTAGCACTGGCCAACAGTACCACTATTAACCCTTTGACTGCTGAGCCCGCATGGGGTACATGTACTGCATGACAGGTATTATTTGCAAAGTCATGTGTACAAAAAGCTGAAAATGGCAGAAAACTTAAAAATTGGATTGTAACAGACCACAAATTCCAGTGATATTCTAAACAAAAGGAGTTCTTAACCATGCTTGTAGCTGTTTCCATCACTTCACACTGACTCAACAGACATTCTAGTCTTCAGAGTGATGTCTGAGGTTATTGTGCATGCTGGTTGTGTTGTTCTGTAGGTGGCTGTGTTTATTTGTATATGATTTGTGTTATGGTGGGAGAGGTGTGTGGCTGAGAACTTAAAAATTGGACAGTAAAAGACCACAAAACCCAGTGATGATTCAACCTGGTGCTGTGCTGAACAAAAGAAGTTCTCAACTATGATTGTAGCTGTTTCCATCACTTCACAATGACTCAGACATTTTAGGCTTCAGAGTGACATACAGAATGTGATTCCTGGAAACTTATATATACTTTTTGGGTTGATTTCAGAACTTACCAGACTGATTGGATGTGTTTTCAATTTTGTCCATGGTATCTGAAAGATAAAACATTATGCTAAAGCAAATCAAACAAACACTGAAGAAAATACATAGTAATCAAGATATCTGTTTATCATTTTTATTTTCTAGATATAAACATAAAATTTACACTGAACTGCTTGACTTGCATATGAGCTTTTGAAGCTAGTACAAATAATAAATAATTTTATGTGAGAAATATACATCATATAACACACAAAGTCATGTGGCCACAAGGAAAGGTAGCTTAGGAGCTACTGGTGGCAGAAAGGAAAAAGGACCAAAAAAATTAATCTGTCTCTTTAATTCTGTGTTGCCAGACACAAGAAAAGTCCAACCGTTTTTCACATTCCTTCCTTAAAAACAAAACAAAAACCCACATTTGCTATGTTACGATATAAATCACGATAGCTTGCTTTCTCAATTCCCATTCTAGCATGGTTTGGGAGAGAGGATAGTAGTAGGGTTGTGTATCACATCACTTCCTAGCAAGAAAGACTGAAGAAGCATTGTCCACTGGCTCCAGAGTTATGTCCAGTTTTCAGCCAGAGTATGTCACCATAATATATGGCCTCTGAGGGATGGGAAAGGATTAAAAAAAAAAAAAAAAAAGTGATACCAGATGAAAGAAAGTGGCAGGAAAAAAATACAGTAGAACATCAGAGTTACAAATATAAGAGTTATGAACTGACCGGTCAATCACACACCTTATTGGAAACCAGAAGTATGCAATAAAAAGCAAATACTATACAGCACAGCACTGTGTTAAACATAAACTACTAAAAAATAAAGGGAAAGTTTAAAAAAAAAGATTTGACAAACGGTTTGTGCTTGTTTCATTTAAATTAAGATGGTTAAAAGCAGCATTTTTCTTCTGCATAGAAAAGTTTCTAAGCTGTATTAAGTCAACGTTCAGTTGTAAACTTTTGAAAGAACCACCATAACGTTCTGTTCAGAGTTACAAACATTTCAGAATTATGAACAACATCCATTCCCGAAGTGTTCGTAACTGAGGTTCTACTGTAACACACAAAAGAACAAAGAACAATTAAAGCAGATGGTATGACATAGCCAAAGGAAACTCCAGTAGCTTTCTCTGCAAACATATATACTCCCTTGCTCCATTTCAAAGTGTGTATGAGGAAAATTCCACTTGGATAAAGAAAAAATAAATTAAATCACTGCTCATTTTCATTGCTTCGGTCATAGTCTTACGAGGGATAACAATTAAGAAAATTTTCTACTATCTAATGCCTCCATCTTCTTTTTATGAAACTGTTAAACCCCTACAACAAATTTTTAACATTATGAAATTCAGAATTAGCAATTTTCAGACTTCTTGAAAATAAGTTTTAAGAAGGCAGAAACGACGAAAAAGGGAGAAAGTCTTCCTTAATTACTGTTTCAACATAATAAAATGCTCACCCTAATAGCTGCTTTATTGCAAAAGACCTTGTTTATAGCAAGCCATGTTGGAAGATCCAGCATGTTCTGAAGCACCTCTTCATCCAACTCTAAATTGGTCAGCTGACCTTCCCCCTTTAGTGTGCTCAGATTGATCTTGTCAGGTGACAGGTTTTTGGTGAACCTAAAAGAGAATATGCATTAAAGCTTAAGTTAATGTCACATAAAGCAATTAGTTATCCATGTCATAGGTCACAATTTATATAAATCAGCAAAGTAATAAACTGAAAAGAACAGGCTTCAAAGTACAGTTTGACCTTAAAATTGACATGGTAAAAATGGCCCGGGGGGTTTCACTGTTATTTTTCCCTCAATGACTTCCATATCAAATCTGCTCATTTACAAGTAAACAAATGGACTCAACAATTAAGATGTGTTCTTTCTGGCTTGTCTGTCATCAGGAATAAAGATTCTGTACCTAGAATTTAGCTAACAATTCTTTTGATGTTGTATGAGCCAGAACAGAATCCAGCTCATTCTCCTTTGAACTGTTTTGGCTCTGTAGGGCTAACAGGAGAAAAACTAGTGAAAATGTATTTTTTCCTTAAATAAGCAGATATGACTATGAATAAACTCAGGTGGCAGATCTTTAGAGTAAGAAGGTTTTATTTTTACAAAGTCACTTTTCTGACTATTTGCACTTTAGGCTTGACAAAAATCTTGTATAAATTATTCTTAAAATATTCATTAGGGTTTAATTTCAGAATTTATCAAAAACATATGGTAGAAACTGTTTTGTTGCATAGGATTCTGGTGTATTTACAATGTAGCAATTCAAAGACAGGATTATAAATCCTAACATAAGTGCTTTTTTGTCAGAGTATACTTTGAAGTGTCATGATCCGACTACACTGCAAGGTCTTCTGTATATTTTTAAAACTGAGAAATCTCAAAGATGACACACATACTGTACATATTACTATTTTATTAAAAGGCATAATAATTTACTTAAATCAGCATAACAGCCCATGTGATTGTGCCAATCAGCGCATAGCCTAGTGATGTATGGCAAAGCCGAGGGGTGCTTGGCGAAACTTACCTATCTACCTAAGTTCTTATATCACACGTAGCACGTTTTATCTGCTTTGCTGGATCAGGGTCTGAGTGCCTAACTTTCTGCCATAGAAGTTTGTTTTTGATTCACAACCTGGACTCTCATTTTACAGCTTCAGATAGTACATCACCACGTCCACTGAATGTGTTTTGGGTCCTTTCAGTAGCAGATTGTCACTTGTCGGTCTTTGCCAGAAGGATGGGGAAAACATTCTAGGAATCACCACTTTGCTGCTGTGTCCATGCCAGGTACAGCTCGTATGTTTTCTCTGAACAGGGAGAGACTGGTTCCTAAGAAAACTGTCAGGTTCCCTGTTAAGCTAGGGTTTTGTTTGTTTGTTTTTCTTTTCATGCTTTTTTCCCCACCAATCTCCAATTACTGCTGAAAATACCTGGCAGTCACTTTCCCTGTTTGATTGTTACATCATGTTCTGGGGGTATCAAAATTTATGAGCACACTACCCTGCTTAACAAAAACCAAAATGCCCAACACACATTCAACAGTTTAAGTTTCCTGTTAGGGACAGGGGATATCATAGAATATCAGGGTTGGAAGGGATCTCAGGAGGTCATCTAGTCCAACCCCCTGCTCAAAGCAGGACCAATCCCCAACTAAATCATCCCAGCCAGGACTTTGTCAAGCCTGACCTTAAAAACCTCTAAGGAAGGAGATTCCACCACCTCCCTAGGTAACCCATTTCAGTGCTTCACCACCCTCCTTGTGAAAAAGTTTTTCCTAATATCCAACCTAAACCTCCCCCACTGCAACTTGAGACCATTACTCCTTGCTCTGTCATCTGCTACCACTGAGAATAGTCTAGATCCATCCTCTTTGGAACCCCCTTTCAGTTAGTTGAAAGCAGCTATCCAATCCCCCCTCATTCTTCTCTTCTGCAGACTAAACAATCCCAGCCTCTCCTCATAAGTCATGTGCTCTAGCCACCTAATCATTTTTGTTGCCCTCCGCTGGACTCTCTCCAATTTTTCCACATCCTTCTTGTAGCGTGGGCCCCAAAACTGGACACAGTACTCCAGATGAGGCCTCACCAATGTCGAATAGAGGGGAATGATCATGTCCCTCGATCTGCTGGCAATGTCCCTACTTATACAGCCCAAAATGCCGTTCGCCTTCTTGGCAACAAGGGCACACTGTTGACTAATATCCAGCTTCTCGTCCACTGTAACCCCTAGGTCCTTTTCTGCAGAACTGCTGCCTAGCCATTCAGTCCCTAGTCTGTAGCAGTGCATGGGATTCTTCCGTCCTAAGTGCAGGACTCTGCACTTGTCCTTGTTGAACCTCATCAGATTTCTTTTGGACCAATCCTCTAATTTGTCTAGGTCCCTCTGTATCCTATCCCTACCCTCCAGCATATCTACCACTCCTCCCAGTTTAGTGTCATCTGCAAACTTGCTGAGGGTGCAGTCCACACCATCCTCTAGAACATTAATGAAAATATTGAACAAAACTGGCCCCAGGACCGACCCTTGGGGCACTCCGCTTGATACCGGCTGCCAACTAGACATGGAGCCATTGATCGCTACCCGTTGAGCCCGACGATTTAGCCAGCTTTCTATCCACCTTATAGTCCATTCATCCAGCCCATACTCCTTTAACTTGCTGGCAAGAATACCATGGGAGACCATATCAAAAGCTTTGCTAAAATCAAGGAATAACATGTCCACTGCTTTCCCCTCAACCACAGTGCCAGTTATCTCATCATAGAAGGCAATTAGGTTAGTCAGGCATGACTTGCCCTTGGTGAATCCATGCTGACTGTTCCTGATCACTTTCCTCTCCTCTAAGTGCTTCAGAATTGATTCCTTGAGGAATCCTTGTCCTCTTTGTTATTTTCCACACCCCCATTTTTGTGTAATTTGCAAACTTTATTACTGATGATTTTATGTTGTCTTCCAGGTCATTGATAAAAGTGTTAAACAGCTTTTAGAACCAGTCATGTCACTCAACCAGACATCATGTCACTCAACCAGACATAATAACCACATAGAATCCCACCACTGCCTACCAGTTTAAGCACAACTTTATATTTTCAAGACTAAGAAGAATGCAAGAAACAGTTTTAGATTCACTGATTCCAAGGCCAGAGGGGACCATTGTGATAATCTAATCTGACCTTCTGTAGAACTTCCCCAAAATAATTCCTAGAGTACATCTTTTAGAAAAACCGCGAATCTTGATTTAAACATTGTCAGTGATGGAGAATCCAGCACGATATTTGCTATATTATTCCAGTGGTTAATTACTCTCACTGTTAAAAATGTACACCTTATTTCCAGTCTGAATTTGTCTAGCTTCAACTTCCAGCTATTGGATCAAGTTACACCTTTCTCTGCTAGATTGAAGAGCTCATTGTTGAACATTTGTTCCACAAGTACAGACTTATAGACCGTAATCAAGTCACCCCTGAACCTTCTCTTCATAAAGCTAAACAGATCAAGTTCCTTGAATATACCACTATTAGGCATATTTTCTTTCATTTAATCATTCTCATGGCTCTTCTCTGAACCCCCCACCCCAGTTTATCAACATCTTTCTTGAATTGTGGACACCAGAACTGAACATAGTATTCCGGCAGCAGTCACACCAGTGTCAATGCAGAGATAAAATAACCTCTGTATTTCTACTCAAGATTCCCTTGTTTATGCATCCCAGGATCGCATTAGCTCCTTTGGCCATAGCATCACACTGGGAGTTCATGTTCAACTGATTATCCACCATGACCCTCAAATCTTTTTCATAGTCACTGCTTCCTGTGAGGGTTCTTCATCCCGTAAATATGGCCTACATTCTTTGTTCCTAGATGTATACTTTTACATTTAGCCATATAGAAACACAGTTTCCTTGCACCCAGTTTATCAAGCAATCCAGATTGCTTTGTAGCAGTGACTTGTCCTCTTTGTTATTTTCCACTTCCCTATTTTTGTGTAATTTTCAAACTTCATTACTGATGATTTTATGTTGTCTTCCAGGTCATTGATAAAAGTGTTAAACAGTGTAGGGCCAAGAACCAACCCCTGTGGGACCCCACTGGAAACACACCTTGATGATGATTCCAGATTTGCAATTACATTTTGAGACCTATCAGTTAGCTAGGTTTTATTCCATTTAATGTGTGTTATGTTAATTTTATATCATTCTAATTTTTTAATCAAAATGTCTTGTGTTACCAAGTCAAATGCCTTACAGATGTCTATGTATATTACATCAATGCTAATACCTTTATCAACCAAACCTGTAATCTCAACCCCAAAAAATCTCAAATTAGTTTGACAGTATTCATTTTCTATAAACCCATGTTGATTTGAATTAATTACGTTAGCTTCCTTTAATTCTTTATTAACTGAGTGTGACGTTATTGATGTATTCTGGGACCATATAGATCATTGTTGCAACCAAGGTCCTGTAGTGGCACCCAGATCTTGTGTAAAGGGGGTCAAATGGGGTATCTAAGACAAGGTTATGAATTACTGGTTATAATTATGCTGTCTATATGTGTGTATCAATTTTGTAGTTGAAGTTAGGAATATTGGCTCTATACTGTCTGTACTTCAAACTTATGCTATGCTGCTGGGTGACATCCCAGACAAATTGGTGTTAGCTCTGCCTAGTCTGCTTGATGGCCCATTAAGGACCATCAGCTATACAATGGACCCATTGAAAGAAGGCAGATACGCCTTGTAACTCAGCAAAGTATGCAGGGACTGGCCCATGTGACTCCAGACTCCATTTTGCTGTAATTTTCCACAGTAAGAGCAAAGAGGTGTTCTTACACCTGGAAAAGACTATATAAGGCTGATGCCTCATCTCCATTTGGTCTTCAATCCTGCTTCATACCTCTGGAGGAACCTTGCTACAAGCTGAAGCTTCGGACAAAGGACTGAGGACCCATCCCAGCGGGGGATGTATTCCAGAGACTTGATTTGAACCTGCAGTTTATTCTATCGCTGCTGCAAGCCTGAACCAAGAACTTTGCCATTACTGTATGTAATTGATTCCATTTAACCAATTCTATCTCTCATCTCTATCCTTTTCCTTTTATGAATAAACCTTTA